CTTCCTACAGCTCCCTCCCCCATCGCCGCTGACTGCTTCGCACTCGCGAGCGATAAGCACCCTTTGACCTTTCAGTTAAGTTATTACTTTTATCCGGCGCGGGTCACGGGGCATAAAGGCTCGTTGAACATCGAATCGACTCTATCAGTCCAATTAAGCGGCGCGCCGTTGCCGCGCGCGAACAATCGCGAAACTCCGCGTTCTCGTTCCCAACCCCCTTCGAGTCCCGCCAGCCCCAACGACCGGGGGGCACCTGTGCACCCTCGCTGGCTGGGCGGCCGCGCTGTCGCGAGCTTTTTTATATTTCTCGCGTGAGATATGGAACTATAAAGAGCCGGCGCAAGAGACCGGCCACGGCCTGTTTCGTGAATTACGCGAGAAACATTCTGGCTCGACTGGTTGTCGTTACGCGCTTTTTTCGTCCTCACGAGGAAGCCGCCGAGCGGGCTGGCCGGCTGACCACGCGACCCCGTTCTGTCGCCGAAATCGCGATTCTCCTCGCTCGGACGAACGCGTGAACACGTTCGATCATCCAGTCCAGTCGCGTTCGCGTGCGTCGTGAACCGCGGCGTGTTCACGGCTGAGTGGCCGCCGAGGGTTACACGTTAGGGCTACGACCGGAATTCGATCCGGAGAGAGACGCGGAAGAACGATGGACGCGAGCTCGGATATGTGGGACGACCGAAACGAGGGAGGAGGGGGGCGGCCGGGGAACTGTTGTTACGGTTTCCCGTCGATGAGCGCTTTCGTTTCTCGGCCAGTCGTCCGCGGTGCGTGGGCATTCGGGTCGCGAGACTCGCGTGCCCACGATGATCTCCTCCCGAGGAGGTCGATGCGAGGATAAGGTGGACTTACGAGTGAGATTTCGCGGCGGGAAATTTAAAAGACACACACAGATCGTTTCTCGAGCATGGAACATGGGGCTCGCTCTGCGAGCGAGGCGGCATTCCGAGCATTTCCAGCGCCGCGTAATCGTAACGAATACGATCAGGTAACGTACGCCTCTCGAGGGGGTGTTTTTCATAACGTTACCCAATACTTCCTCGCGCGACGCGCCCGACGAGTGCGCCGTTACGTTCGCGTGCGTTTGCTCGCGTTCCTCGAGCGTCTCAACGAGCAGCAGCACGAAGTCCGCGCTGGATTATTCTTATTACGGATACAGATGAATGATTTTCGCAACGGAACGGGGAACCTCTCGGCTCGCGGCCCGGTAATGATCGGAAAAAATACCGCGCGGATTTAACGAGTGTTGTGTGACCAGCGGAGGATGTAATAATAATAATTTGCGCCGATAGCCACTTTACGTGTTCGCGTGTCCGAAAAATATAATACGGCCATGACATAACGATGTAATTAATACTCTAAATCTGCGAGTCGCCTTCCGTGAATTCACGAAGCTATTTCCTCCGCAGCGCTGGAAGAAAAAATGACGTAAGAATGCAATAAACGGATAGAAGGAAAAGAAAAAAAAAAAGCCACGAATTGTGGAAGCGTGTATCGCGTTCGGAGGGAGAAAGGAAACAAGCGTGTAACGAGACGCCGCGAGTTTCCGCGAATATGGCGTATCCGTGCGAAGTCATCGTCCTGCTTTTTTTCGTGATATATTATATATATATATATATATATATATATATATACGTACGTGTACGTATATGCTGCGCCGGTTGCGTGCATTGTTACGTCTCAATGGATACTCGCACGAAGTCGGCGCAGTAATTCGAGCTTGTTAAAGGATACGAATGAAGGGTCTCTCGATATATAATTCCTAACACGTACGCCGTCAGATACGTTTACGGAGGATGTCGTAAGGTGCTATCGCGCGGTTATCGGGGAAATCTGCGTCACGAGGCGTAAGAAACGCGGGCGTGGGCGCGGACGAATAAATCAATATCGTGCGCGACGTCCTGCGCGAGCGGGAGCACGAAGGATCAAGAGGCGCCGACGACGCCTCGATATATCGAATAACGATCGCGAGTGAAGTTCCACGAAAGTCTCACTCGCGCGGCACGAACGCGCGATAAAAAGTGCTTTTCGGGCGATTCCAGGGGGGCGCCGAACCGTCAGCTTTTGTGCATCACGAGACTCGGCGCATCCTTTTCTTTTCCCACAATCCGCGGGCTTTCGCGAGAAGTCGATGCGGCTCCCGTCATTCCCAGCGAAACCGGGGCGGATGATTTCCGTCGGTGATTTAAAACGCGCGCACACACACACACACACACACAGGTAGTACGTGCACATCACGAGGAGTATTTAGGAGGAAATCTGGAACGCTGGTATAACAAACCGCTTCTTTCTCTCCATTTTTCCTTTTTTACGTGGTCTCGGATATGCGGTCATCGAGTCAGAAAATCATCGTCCGCTATTTTCTGCAATTCATACCCGACACGTTCGCGTGCGCCTCGTATAGAGAGTCATCGGCTCGGGAAATCATCATCCGTCATTTTTTACAATGTATGCACATTGCGCTCGCGTGCGTGCCGCGAGAGTTGGCTGTATACCGGAGGGGCTCGAGTGACGGTATTATGTGACGGTAGTAGTCGAGTACCTATCCCCCCTATGTATATAGATGGATGGATGATTCTTTAATGCGCTTTCGCGTGGCCGAGCCGGCGGCGGCGAGGTAACGCGACCAAATTACCGGGGTTTTCCCGAAATTGCGAAACGCGACTCGTCTTCCGCCCGACAGAACTGTGAGCGGTCGATTCGAAGGGAGGATTCAAAGAACGTCGTTTTCGCAACGTTGGACCGGAATGCACCGCTCGAATTACAATCGGGCGATTTAAGACGCATCCTCGGGATGCGAATCTAAAGACTGAAATTCAGCGTATTTCAGCGTATCGGACTAGCTGGCTTCAGCTGATCCGCAGTTTCGACCAAACCGAGTATTTCTTAGACCGAATATTTCTTAGACGACACACGTGCCGACGCTCGAAGAAACGAGCCTCTGATTGCTTCCGAGATTGAATCGCTTCCCAAGATCCACGAGCCGTGTTTAATTTATCACGCACGAATCCGCCGCGCGCAACGTGCAGCTTCGACGTACGTACGGCCGTTCTTCGAAAGGCCGAGCCGCAGAAGCCGCGACGGCCACGACCGTCGGGAACACGGAAACTCTCGTGACCGATCCCGCGGAAAGCCTCGGGACCGCGGCGATGCCGTGAGCTCGAGGAATTTGGAGCCCACACCTACCTACCGACACCTCGACGAAGCGCGCGCCATCAAATTCGAGGCTTCGAATTGAATGCCACCGGACGCGCCGTTAACAACAGAACGCTCGCCCCCTTCCTCCCTCTGCGTTCTCCATCTATCTGTCTAAGCCTCTCTCGCTCTCTTCCTCGGCGGCTCGTCCCGCAATGGCAGAAATCAGTTTCCACATTGTGTACACAATGCTCTCGCGTGGAACCAATAGCTCGCGCGGGACTGTGGTTACACACAGCCGCTTTATCATTAGAGGGAAACCTCGGCGGCGTTTCGACGGGCTTCCCCTCGGACGTCCCGAGTATTCAAATGATCGTGCGGCAAGGAACGCCGCCGGTAGCAATCGAATGTGCAACAGTGTGGATCGTAGCCTCGTAATTAGATTCGGTCTGCATGGTGAATCGGGATCGGTATTCCGGAGTGTTCCCACACCGGCGCGGCGTCCACGCCGGGCGAACGAGCCCGGCTCGTCCCTGCGAGCCCCTGCGCGCCCTCATACCCTCCCTGGTCCCTCCCTCTCCTTCCTTCTCTCGCGCTCGAATCGCGCGCCGAGGTTACGTCGCGCTTTAATGAGAGCCCGCTCGTGATTACCCGACGTGTCATAATTAATTGAGGAGCCTCTCGAACCGGAGGACCTCTCGGCTCGCGCGCGCGCGCGCGCGCGCGAGTCCGCCTTCCCTCCTGCCGCCGCAGGATACATCGTTTGTTGGCCGACGATTCGCGGATGCAAATCCACCGCACCGACGATGCCGCGCGGATTCCCGGCGAATTGGGATAATTGAAAGGGGGATAATTGAGGGTCGGCGATATAATGTGTCTGACCGCGCGCGGGGCTCGCGGGGGCGCGAGTTTCGCTTATAAAAATATTACAGCTTCATTTTCGTCCTTACGGCTGGCTGCGCTCGTGAATGTTCTCGGTGTTTCCTAAAGCGCGCTCCGGGTTGTTTGCCGGGTTAAATGCCGGGTTGAGAGCAGTTTTCGTCACAAACCTCGTGACAGATTTCGCAAATTGCCGACTCCGACGATTTTCGACGGGCGAGTTCTGCGATGAGATCTTCAGCGAGATCAATTGCAAGATTTCTGTTTCTATTTCCAGATAACGCGAGGTGGGCTTATGGGCGACGGCGAAGCGCGTTGCACGATCGCGTCTATGACCCACTGTTGCTCCTGAAAAATGTACGTCGGCCGTCAGTTCTGCCAGGAGGGTACATTGTCTCGCGAAAGGGATGATGCCTGAGCAAACGTGACACGTACGCTGAACTTGACGGCCCTGGCGTGACTGCCGCGTGTTGGGTGTGGACACAGGGTGACTGAAGATAAACTAACACAACGAGGGTTTGAACTACGTCTAGAATTACCTTGTAATAAGGGCTAGCCGGGGTTGGCAGAGTGTACAAGCATTCTCGATCTATAAATACGTCGTCGACTCGGCGTTTCAGAGATACGCGCGTGATTTTTTCGCTTCTTCCCCCTCCCCCTCCCCCCCGTCGAGCGCCGCCGGGGCTTGGCCGGCAAACAATTTCGTCGGTCGCGCGTCGAGCATTTTCTCTGACATTTGGATAATTGGATTTCGTTGATGTGAGACGTAGAGACTAGGCTTTGACAAGCAACTCTTCAACAGCTGTTTTCCCGAAGAAAAATCGGCTCTGCTTGAGACTGAGTCTTAAACGTTAAAAATAGGATATTATCGCTTCACGTTTCTCGCTCGGCGCTCAGTCGCCAAGATACTCTAGCGCGATTTCACAAACTGCTGATAGCAATCGCATAAACTGCTGATAGCAGTCACACAAGTTCAACGATACCTGATGGAAGCCAAGGTAACTCTCTATGCTGTGGGTAGCGAAAAACACCTCCCCGTCGCAGGTCAGTATTAGCAGGAACCCGTTCAGTGCCTGAAACAGAGAATCGAAACGGTGAATCGAGAACGCGCTCGATAACAGGGTTGAGCAGCTGCGCCGCGATGTAATGTTAATGCTACGAAAATATTAGGTAAATCGGAAAGTTCCGTCCGTCTACCGTCTACAAGTACACTGCAAACCCGAGTGTGTTATTTTGACACGTATAAGCTGAAGCTTTCTTCACGCGTTTCTTGTCGTCTGGAATCACGTCATCTGATGCATTTCGATGTCACTCGACGCGTTTAAACGCGTTAAACGACGTGATTTAAGACAAGACAAGATAGGAAGCGCAAAGGAAGCTCCAGCTTGTACGTGTCAAAATAACACACTCGGATTTGCAGTGTAGCTATAGCTAGAACTGTCGTTAACCTCTAATGTCTAAACGAAGCTTAATAATGGTTTGTTTTGACATCTGTCAGTAACATTCAGTACATAAAGGTATACGTTTGCATCAATAACATTGCTTTTCACCGCATCGCAAATGTCGAAATTTGAGCCGAATAAGCGTCATTTGCGCGCGAAGTGTTAATCTTTCGCTTCAATTGAAAGAAAACTGCAGCTGAAGCTCATCGAATGCTTGTAGAAGTTTGTGGTGATAATGCTCCTTCCGACAAAACACGCAGAGAATGGTTTCGACGCTTTAAAAGTGGTGATTTTGATGCAGAGGACAAAGAGCGTTCTGGACAGCCAAGAGTATCCGAAGACGAAGAATTGCAGGCATTGGTGGACGCGAAGACCGATGTCAAACGCAAAAGTAACTTGCGGAAACATTAAATTGTGCTCAATTTGTCATTTCCGATCGTTTGAAAGCCTTAGGAAAGGTTTACAAGGAAGAAAAGTGAGTCCCATGAAGTCCCTGAAGTCAAGAGACATTGAAAGGCGAGAAACCACCTGCGAAATTCTGCTTGTTAGGCAACAAAGAAAGGGGTTTTTTTTTTTACATCGTATCATCACCGAGGATGAACAATGGATTTATTTTGACAACTCCAAACGTCGAAAAACTATTTACGATCCCGGCCAACCCTCAACATCGACGCCAAAGCGGAATATCCATGGAAAGAAGGCAATGCTCTGTATTTGGTGGGATCGGAAGGGTGTGCTGTACCATCAGCTGTTGAAAAGTAGTTGAACAGTCACAGGGGATATTCTACAGAGAACAAATGATCCGAGTTTGAGCCGAGCATTGCACGAAAAACGACTGGACTAGTGATTTTGCTTCATGACAACGCTCGGCCTCACGTCACAGGATCTGTGAAGGAAACGTTAGAAACACTTCGCTGGGAAGTGTTTCTAACGCCATGCGGCTTATTCACCAGACTGTATCCTTTCCGACTACCGCTTGTTTCGGTCGATGGCACACGCACTCGCTGACGAATGCTTCAATTCTTATGAAGACGATCGAAAAATGGTCTCTGACCGGATAGCCAAAGATGAGTCATTCTTTCTCCGCGGAATTCGCTTGCTGATCGAAAGATGGAAAAAAAGTCATCGCTAACGATGGACAATACTTTGATTGATGTACCTTTTCATTTTGTTTCTTAAATAAAGCGCATACGTTTTGCAAAAAGAAAAAGCGGACGGAACTTTCCTCCCGTGCGGGAAAAAGTATCACGCCGACGATGGCGACAGCGCGTTAATAATTGACCGGGCGATCGCTGAATATCGATCGATCGGTTAAGCGAAAGCGCGCAACACCGTCGTCGTAAAATCGGCCGATCATAATCGAAAACCGACAGACTGCTCCGTTTTGCACCGCGAGCAAAGTTCAAGGGGCTAATTCGCGTGGATAAGTTAAGAGCAGCGCAAAATACAGGTTTGTTAGACGCGGTTGGACGTACACGTGAATATGCCCCGCGAGAATAGAGCGGCACGGCACGAAGAGAACGAAAGGGTACGTTGCCTTTTCGAGAGCGAAGGCTAACGCTTTTGCCGAGGCGACGCCGCCACCGGCGGAACATTCCGAAATGTTCCGGAAAGTTTTCCCATTTGTCGGCAGATTCGATACGGCTAAATATCAAACGAGCCTGCAACTCGTGCGTTCGCCTCGAGCCCCAAAGTGCCTGCTGGTCGATTATCACTGTCAGGTTGGAGGTTTCTCAAAAGGGAGAGAGGGAGAGAGAGAGAGAGAGAGAGAGAGAGAAACGCACACATCCCCCTGGCACCGCCGAGACGATAAATATCACATCTCCCTTCGATCTTTCAGAGAATTATCAAAACGCAGAAAAGAACGAGAGAACAAGTAATGCGTGGTTTGGAGTGGATCGGAAAGTGAGCAATAATATAAATTTGTCAAGGGTAACCGAAAAGAAAAAGAAAATCGTTACACAATATGGGGAGAATTCGCTCTCGAAGAAAAGGGGTAGAAACGGCAAGTCTTGCAGGCGAATGAATCTTACGAGTGCGAGCGCCACGATATTTCGATAAGAATAATTCAAGGACGTAATCCGACGCGGCGGCGACGGCGCGCGCGCGCGCGATTAAGCTTTCCGAAATACAGAGGCAATTCCGAGCCGCCACGCGAGAATAGTGCGCCGGCACGAAAACGGAAGGGTGCGTTGCCTTTCGGAAAGCGAAGGGGGCGGCGAGCGTTGTTTCTGCTGGAAGCGCGTTGTTGAAAACGCCCCGGGAAAGTTTTCCCATTTATCGGCGGTCCCGATACCGGCAAATACCAAACGAGCTCCCTCTCCCTATCTCTCTCTCTCTCTCTCTCTCTCTCTCTCTCTCTCTCTCTCTCTCTCTCTCTCTCTCTCTCTCTCTCTCTCTCTCTCTCGCACAACAGCCGAATACGGCGCATCGAAGCCGAAAATATCCGTCCCAGTTTTAACAGTCTTCGACCCCGCGCGCAACTATATATCGGTCGAAGCGGGGTGGAAACCATTTAAAGCCTCGTCCGCGCTCCCGCCGGGCTCCTGCGAGCTAAATGTGTATTGTTTTGTTTTATTTCGCGGTGGCGGTGCCAGGCACGCCAGGCTGCGATACTTATTGTTCTGAAATATGGTGAGCCCGAGGAAACCGGATAGAGCGGAGGAGGAACACGTAGTTGCGACGATCCGAGGGGACGAGGGGGCGCGAGCGATAAAGAGGGAGATTAATCTTCGGCGGTAATCATCCTCGATGGATTTTTATTTCGACGGAATTTCCATTTGCTACGCGGTCGTACACGTCGTCCGGGAAAGTCGGAGAGCTGAGAAATCGACGTTTCTGTTGAGGAGAATCAACCTCAAGGTTAAAGTGAAAACGCAAAATTCGAATCGGTCGGAGGAGCTGCGATGAAAAAGACAACCGATGACCCTGGGGTGGTTCTCGAAACTCGGAACAAAAGTCTCGGCTTTTCTACCTTAATTTTCTTGGCTCGCGGTATCGCGCTATCACGGAGGGTTAATTCTTCTGACGTATCTTCGGAGTTTTCCCGCTTCGCCGCGCCGACGCGCGATGCACGCTCGTAAAGTTGCGATAATTGCGGATACCTCGCGGCTTCCTAATCTCGGCTTCCGACATTCTCGCAAGGAACGATCGCGGACTTCGTAATATCCCATTATTCTTAGAGCGGCGAATAAGGGCTGCGCTCGTTGCGAGAGAGACGGGTTCGATAATTATTACGGTGATTAAAACGGGCCAAAGTAAATCATCGCGTCGAAATTTGCGAGCCTGCTCTTTTCAGCCGGACATGGACAGATGTCAAATCGATGTCCTCCTCCTCCTCGCTCGAGCTTCTCTCTCTCTCTCTCTCTCGTTCTCCCATCAGAATGAAAGAAAATATTACGACGAAAAGTATCTCAAATTCCGTCGACTTCAAGACGAACGAAAGTCCACGCTTTTTTTGGCTCAATGCTGTGTACTCAATTTTTCACGGGAAGCGGACCGAAGGAAAAATCCGAGAGATATCCGAGATGCGATGTGAGCGAAGACAGAGACAGAGAAAGAGCGAAAGAGACAGAAGAAGAGTGCGAGCACGTGCGAGCTCACGCACATGTCACGTGATTAAATACGCCACTGTGTCGAACTCTCGGTTTCATTTTCCGCCCGGGGGAAGGAACTTTGATTCCACCTGGCCGATACGCGCGGCACACAAAATGGCACACTTCCGAGCGATCGCATGCGCGGATGCTGCGTTTTGATTGGTTAATCCGCAGGGTGGGCTCCTGCGTTGCGTCAATAGTCGGATGTGCGCGAGGGGTGAGCCCCGGAGCCTTCGACCTTTCTCGTTCACCCCACACTGTACCACTCTACGTAGGATACGAGCTATAATAGGATTTTCTCGGTGCTTCCCCTCTTTTCCGACCCTTCGAAATGGCCGGCATAGCCATTCCGCGGAAGGCATCATCCCGCGAGACTCGTTCGCCGGTACGACTGTAATTGTATTGTTTGGGGCAGCCGGTCGACCGAGCGGAGTTCTCTCGATTACGCCGATCGTCTCGTCGGGGTCGGGGGGTGGGTTTACGTCCTAATAAAGCGGAAATGAGTGAGTATCCGATCGAGGATGCGATCGTGTTTTTTTCCTTTTGGGACGCTCCGGTCCCGAATATCGCAACGTTACGGTCGCGTCGTCGTTCGACAAAATAATTTAGTGGTAGTTAGTAACGCACAGCAATTTTTGATTCGCTCGTTCGTCGAGCCGCGAGTAAAATTACGTAAGCGCTGGGGGGGGGGGGGAGGGATCGCGCGAACAATTTCGCGCAACGGCAGACGCGAAAACGCGGAGGAACGATGTCAGATTCACCGCCGGCCGGCCGGTAATTACGCATCGCGGTAGCGCGGATGTTTCTCCGCGGATGCGAGAAAAAGGGAAGAACGGGCTGAGGAGGAGGAAAAATTAAGGGTGGAGGAGAAGGAGGAGGGGAAGGAAGAGGAGGAGAAAAAGATACACACGCGGTTTTCTATTTCTCGCGTGAGTCGCCCGGCGGATCAGTCGCGTGCCACTCGCGAGCGCACTCGCGTGTTCCGTCCAAGCGTGAACTTCTAATACCCCTTCATCCTCACCTTGACTCTCCCGC